CCTCCTGTACAGGGTATAGCCATCTATACCTGAGGTCCAGTAATGGGTGGAGTCCCACCAGGTTTCCATTATTGGGTTATAAACAGTTTGGGAGGTCAGGTATACATCTAATGTAAACAGTGCTGTAGTCTAAGTTTAGGTCCTAATTTTAGACTCTGATTTAACTTCAGTTGCAAAGTAATAAAAGCAAAATCTGTCACAAAAGCTTTCCTAAAGTATTTCCCACTGAAGAGAGGAAGAACAATAAATAATTTAAGATCCAGAACAAAGAAAACACTGAAAAAGCTTCCTAACAGGGAGGGCAGTGAAAATGGTTTGGGGGCTGGGGGATATGACTTCTGAGGAGAGGCCGAGGAAACAGGGCTTATTTAGTCTGGAGAAGAAAAGACTCAAGGGGAATTTAATAGCAAGCTTTAACTACCTGGAGGGGGGTTCCAAAGACAATGGAGCTAGACTGTTGTCAGTGGTGGCAGATGACAGAACAAGGAGCAATAAGCTCAAGTTGCACCAAAGGAAGTTTAGGTTGGATATTAGGAAAAAACTCTCACTAGGAGGGTAGTGAAGCACTGGAACAGGTTACCCAGAGAGGTAGTAGAATCTACATCCTTAGAGGTTTTAAAGAGTCAGGTAGACAAGGTCTTGGCTGGGATGATTTAGTTGGGGCTGGTCCTGCACTGAGCAGGGGGTTGGACTAGATGACCCCTGAGGTCCCTTCCAACATGACTTTATATGATTCTATGATCATAAATACGCTACTTTTGTTTGAAATCAATGCAAGCTAACATGCAGTATAACACATCTGATTTAAAACAGTTGGACTAAGTGTTAAGTATACTTTTTTTCTTGGTCAAGTGAGTCTGTCATTTAATTCCTTCAGTTTAAATGTTTTCCAGAAGGCAGATTTCAGGTGTGATCATGTATGCACATTTACCCATGTAATTAATTTAAGTCACGCTGAAATCCCAATGGCTACAATAGGTTCATTCATATGTGCGGAAGTGTCTTCAGGACTAGCACTGTAGTGTCTCAGGAGATATTCAAGTCTGAGATGTTCTTTCTTAGCACAAGTAACCACTGAAGTCTTGCAACAGCTGTGCCACCTGTAATACTCCACCAGAAGCGGCCAGTCTTATTCAGTGTTTAAAGCCACAGCATAAAAGCAGATGCAAAAGTGACCTTTTGGCATTATCAATATGAAACAAAGAATTCCAGTAAGACTCATTTAGACTACAGACAGGGGTGTCAAACTCAGCCTGGGCTCAATCTGGACTGCAGGGGCTCCTCCCAGGCCAGATCCATACCACCAGCAAAAAACTGCGGTAGGCCATGATTGGGCAGGAACATGGATCTGCATTCAGGAGGCAGTATAGGCCTGGGCCCAGGTAGCAGGATGGGGCTACATTTAGGAGCTCAGAGCCACATACAGGCAACAGCACGAAGGCAGCACAGCTGCATGGGTCTGAGGGCATGCAGTGTCATGGGGCCATGTTTAGGTTGCAGCATGGGCCCAGGAATGTGCAGTGAAACAGGGCTATGGTTGGGTATCAGCACATGTCCAGGGGTTGGCCAGTGATGGCCATGTCTAGCAGAATCTAGGGACCCCAAATTCCATAGCAAGCCATGCCCCCCAATCTCCGATAGTCTAGACTACCAGCAAGCCAGAAAAAAGGTTCCATGGGCCAGATCCAGCCCACCAGCCATATGTTTAACATCCTTGCTTTAGGCTAATCTATGTCTCAATTCAGCATGTGGGAGGAGCCTTTTTCACATTTATCGTTCTCTGTTTATCACTCTTGTCCAAGGAAACATTCATCCTTGGGGAGCACAATGTTTGCTGGGGGCTGAAAAGTTACTTAAAAATCTATGTAATTTTTCGAATTAGTAGTCCTATTTTTATAAAAGTCTGGTACTGAATCACCTGTCAGGAGGAGTAATTTATCCTAGCATAGTTAATAGAGTATATTCAGTGTTTATAAAGTGTACTCAGAGGTTGACTTGAAAGGGCAAGACAATACCTTGTTCCAGGATTGTTTTACATAATATTTAAAAATATATCCACTAATTCTGGGACTATGTAGTCTATGTTAATTTCTGGGAACTGCCAGCCTTGGATTCAAACCAGTTCCTGAAACCTTGCCCAAAAAGCAAAAAAACCCAGAGTACTCCACTAATAACATAAACCTGCTTTACTAGACATGTGTCTAAATATACCCAGACTGCAGATGTTGTGAAAAATCTAAAATGCATCAGTTTTATTTTAGTAAAAAAGGCAAATGCTTTTTTAACACTTATTCAGTGACATGTATTTCAAAAGCATTGGTCAATAATGCCCATTTAACTAATCAGTGACACAGTCCACTTCTAACTGTTCCTCAGCAAGGGCTACTTAAAACCTTATTATGCTTGCAAACAAGACAGACACACAGAGCACACACAGGAATGCATCTTTTAGCACACAGAAATAGGTTCCTATTAATTGGTTTTCAGTTGCATAGTATTAAAAAAAAAAACCAAAAAACCTACCTTGGTTTACATCCATAAATATTTGTTTTCTTTCCTCAGCCATTCATATCCCTGCTTTTTTTTAAACTTCCTAAACTTCAGTTCAACAGCAACACAATGCTAGCTAGCTAACTGCATCTATTATCCGCAGTGCAACTCCTAACTTTAGGGATTGGTAAATTAATGTATAGAGGGAAGGGTTAAAAAGACAAATAAAGTGATCTAGAAGGCCCAGAATGTGAGTAGGAGGGAGGAAGTAAAAATACCAACAGGAAAGAGCCTCAGGCACTGTAAGTTAGATGAGTACTCTTTTTTTTTTTTTGTCAGTTGCCTAGTGTATGTCTATAAAGAACCCTGCATGTGTTTGAGGCAAAGAAATACACTACCTAATTAACTAAAGCCATAAAGATTTAAATTGGGCACCGTTAGAAATGACAACAATGACGACAGCAAGAACAGCAGCAAAAAATGGATAACTTGCATCTTTAAAAGATAAAAAAAAAAAAAAAAAAAAAAAA